GCTGAGCCCCCCCCCCTCGTGGGTTTATCTAAGTGTCATGCAGGGAAACCCCGACTCTTGACGAGTCGAGCCCAACAACACCAGGCACTCCAGTGTCTGCATGCGGACCCTAGGCCCTAAGCTGTGTCTTCAAGGCCGGTAACAAAGACTAAGCGTTGGGTTACTGTTCCCTATTTGGGGCAAGGCCGCCCCTTTGCTTGCGGGGGGCGTAAAACCCTGAGCCCGAAAAGGCCGTACGAAGCAAGATGCTGCACAGCTCTGCGGGGAGCCTTGTACCCCAGCAGGGGTGGGACATCTAGCTTCTAATTCTGGCTCGCGGATAGGAAAAAGCGGGGGTCCTCCGCCTGCTGCCAGCGGCCGGCTTCACCTCACGACACAGCATCTGTAGCACGCGACCTTCAAGCTGCCATACCCAGCGACATCCAAAATGCGAAGTCCGACTTCTGGTACCTACTGCAGGGCTGAGGAAAGCCAGGCAGAATCGCCTCATTTCTGCCGGGCCACATGAAGTCAGAGCTGCGCCATAGCTGATCACATCCTTGGCTTGAAGTCTAAGAGCTCTAAACTTGAATGGCCACACAACCTTTCTCAGAGGAGGGAATGGAGACCCTTGCATGGTCGGGTACCCTCAGCCATCGGGCAGTCCTAGCTCAAACCCAGAATCTTAGACAAGGCTCCGTTCACCCGCCCCCCTCTCCGCCCACCCCCACCATCCCCGATTTGGGTTGCCGGTGCTAAGGGGAATCCACAAGCCCTAAACCATCTCGAGCCTACGGCCTTTTCAACCCTAAACCCTAAACTCCCGAAACTCCCTAAACTCCCGAAACTCCCTGGACCCTAAACCCTCAACTCCCTAAACCCTGAGCCCTAAACTCCCTAAACCCGACAACTCATGATGCTGGCCGCAGGTGCCGGCGTGACCTGCGCTTGCCCGAGGGAGCAGAACAGCCGCAGGGCAAGCCTTGGCTTCGCTCTCTTAGGGGCTCCTAATGGGGGGGGGGGGAGGGGGGGGGGGGGCCCTCTTTCTTGGGCTTAGGGTTTATGGAGGGTTTTGGGTTAAGGGTTTATAAGGGCTTAGGGTTGAGGGTTTATAAGGGTTGGGGTTTTGGGTGTGTAGGGTTTCGGGCTTCCTTACAGACACAGCTGGGTGGCACACACTGCAATTGCCAAACCCGCTGCTTCCCTCAGTCCAGCTGGATATCCTGTGTGCCACGTGAAGCGACGGCAAACCGCACCACACGTCCTCTTTTTCAAACCAATATACAGCTTGTCACATGGTATTCAACGCAGTTTTGGCTAGCTAGGACACACAGGCAGGCTCAGGGTTTGAGACCTGTCCTCGTCGTCGTTTGGCTGTGGCTCCGGTCGGAACACAGGGGCCAAGAACTTCTCGTCCAGGTTGGACCACCACCTCCCCAGGCTCCTCCTCACAGTTGTGCCCACACTGAAAGTCCGGGGCGTCGAGTCGACCAGGCCTGCAGGGCGGGGCTGGAGGCGGAGAAGGCGCATCACCACGGGGAAGAGCGTCCCGAAGACAAGGCAGTTCACAAGGACGATGCCGAGCACCGTCGTCACCATGAGGCGATCCACATGCGACTGCTCATCTTCCGGCGGCACTGCCCGGAGGATCAGCGCGTACGCGATCGTGCCACGCATGCAGCCAGCCATTCCCACCATGCAGAGCTCCTTAGCATTGAGCGAGAGTGGCCGGCCGCCCTTGATCAGCCGCATGGCCACTGCGAGGACGAGGATGGAAATCGTGCGGGCACCTACGATACAAATGATGTAGTAAAAAATGAGGTGGAACTGAAAGCCAACATCGGCTCCCTCAGAAGTGTAGGCGACGGCCGTCAACCCGAAGTAGCCAAAGACAACACTCTCTGCCATGTACGCCATGAGTTCCGCAAGCTCACTTGTGAACATCTGCGCCTCCCGCGACAGCCCATGCTGAGCGTAGTGTCCACTGAGTACGGAGCACACAAAGAGAGCAAAGATGGACGACAACTCGCAAATCTCCGTCAGGATGTAGCAAGCATAGTTGCAGCCGAAGAGAAGCACCACAGGCCTCATCACCTCCTTCTGCAACACTTTGCCGTGCTTGAAGAGGAGCGATGTAGCAAGGCCGAACGCGATACCCAGTGCCGAGGAGCATGCAAAGACTTTGAGCAGCCGCCCGAAGAGCTCAAGCAGCGGAGGCAGCGATGTGGCATCCTCCACTGAAGTGCTCAGCAGAATGGACACCACGTCGTTGAGCACGCCTTCTCCGAAGATGACAGCATACAATTGGGGGAAGTCCGACGCCGAAATGAAGGCCATTGGGGCCACGGTGTCTGTCGAAGCCAAGACTGATGCGAGAATCAATCGATTCTGCGGCGGAATCACGAAGGGATCGCCGGTAGCAGGGTGTATCGTGAAGATCTCAGAGCCGAAATAGATCAGCAGGAAAATGCACACAGTGCCCGTAATCCCTAATGCGCAGATGTAGCCACCGAAGCGGAAGAACTTCTGCTTGTCAAGGTTGAAGCCCGCGGCGAAGATTACCATCGGAAGCAGCATGTAGCTGAACATGTCATAACTAAAAGAAGCCGGCCTGCCCGAGAAGGATTTCATGATGTAACCGGCGATTAGGCCTACCACCACTGCTGCGCCAGTTTCATGCAGCACCTGGCAGACTTGGAAAACATAGCTCCAGCCAACGTACGCCAGGAGCAGAAGAACGCAGAAGAAGTCCTCCAATCCAAACACTTCGTGCATTCGTCCACCAGACCCCGAGGCAGTGGTAAGCACCAGGCCACATGCCTTGGTGGTGGTTGTGCCGCATGCCGGGACGATGTCGAACGGGGGTCCGTTGCTGTACCAATCAATGCAGAACACATCGTAGCTAGTTTCGGGATAGATTGCATCATTCTGAATGATGAATCGGCAGCTCTCGGACTTCTGGCAGGTGACATGCGGATAGCCCGTGAGCTGCCGCCAGGAGGGTGCCTTCAGGCGCTTCGGGTTGTGCTTCAACGCAGCACAGGACAGCATGGCCGTGCCGGTGGTGTTTGTAAAGCGAGCAGAGACGCAGAGTGTTCGGCGCTGGGGGGCGATTGACTGGCACTCATTGATGGTGTAGTCTGGAGACACGGGGTTGCCTGCCGATGCCAGCGAGTGTGCAAGGAGCGCCGGCCACCAAACTGTGCGTAGCAGCTTCGCTCTCTGACTCATCGGAGCCGAGGGCAGGCTGAGGAGGCAATGGCCGAGCACCACAGTTGAGTTTAGGGCTTCGGGGCTTTCACGCTTCAGACTTGATGTTTGCAGCTTAGGATGCGCGGTGCTGTTTCCCCTCTGCCGTGTCCAAGCCCGACTGCATTCGGAAGCACTTCGCTCTAAACTCCAAGGCCCCCAAATCCACCGGCTCAAACGACGGAAGCTTGAACTACAACTACAAGTCTCCACAATCGCATACCTTCCACAATCCCAGCCCTCCACTGCCCTAAACCACAAGCGCCCCCCCCCCCAACACCCATCTGCTCCTGGAAGTCTTACGGTGCCCTAAAGCCTTTTGAACACGGGACTCGGGTCTTGCCATGATCAGGTCTCTACATTCTCGTCCCTTTTGGGGGCCCGACAATGCAAGGTGCCGTCAAGAAGTAGCCAACAGGGACCCTTATTCGTAGGCCGCAGATCTTTCCCTAGTCGGAGCGCAATCCCGAAAGGAAACCCACCCGAAGCTTGACCAACATGGTGTCCAAAAGGCTGCCACTGCTCGGCCCTCGCACAAGCGACCGTCGTCGAACTGTAGCTTGTGATGTCGGCCTGTTGCATTGGTAGGGTTTTCGGGGTGCTTGCTACCAATACGGCCCTTTAAATTTAGGTCATACAAAAAAGCCGGCAAGCCCCGCAACCCCCTTGTCGTTGAGGCTGCGTCATTGAGGGCTTGGGGTTGGATATTTGCCAGACCTGCCCCGGGGCGTGTAAGGAGGAAGGCTTTGGGGCCTCGAGCTTCTGCCCTAGACGTTGGAATTTCGGCTTGATGTGCAAGAGGGTTTGTCTATCAGCTGGGAAGCTCCACAACCCTAAGACCCCCAAGCTGTATAAGCCCTCAACTTCAGACATCGCTGGCGAAGACTAGACGAAGGGAAGGAACTTCCTGCAGAGCCTAGGAAGCTTCCAAGCCAAAAACACCCTTAAATTGAACGCGTTTGTTGCCAGCGTGCCGTCGGATCATGCTGGATGACTTCGGGCCAAATGTGTTGGGGCAGCTCCGTTGTTGGAAGAATTCGTGCCTTCCGACGCACTCCAAGTACATGTGTCCCCAGCCTACGCTAAGCAAACTCCACATACCAGTCAGGTTGGGGAGACTTTTGGGGAGGCAGGCTGTGCAAAGCATGAAGGAAAGGGAACATGAGGCTTGAATTAGGAATGCTACTTGCCACGGTGACTCGAGGAGAGCGTCCCGAACGCGGAAACACCGAGAGGCTCGTCGACTCGTCATTCGACTTGGAACGTGCACGGCACCTAGGACCCAGGCGAGAGCGCCTGGGCACACCGGAAACACCGCAATGGTGGTCGGTTTTCTCGTTGCGGGCGCGCGTGGGCGCCGGCGCCGCGCCGGGGAGCCCACTGTCCATTTCCTTTCTCGGAACGCGGAACGAAAGAACCTCCTAGGGCATCATAGGGCAATCACTGTTTTGGGGAGAACACCTCCAAAAAAGAAAAGGGTGCAATCGGCCTTCAGCTGCAAGGCTGGCATGGCTCTGAAGATCTGCAGGGCTCGTTCCCATTCCTTTGTCTCTTGAGGGTTTTTTGTTTTTGCGTCTTCACAGAAGAGCCCCCCCCCCCTCCTTGCAGGTTGAATGAGGAGCAACCTGCACATGGATCTGAATCCAAGCCTCCCTTTGCTCCAAAGCCACGCCGCTTCCCTTCACACCCAAGCTGTTCGCCAAGGTCAATCCCAGAATCTTCTTTTTTTAGACTCCGAGTCGCCACGAAACTCCCAAAAAGTCCCCAAACCCTCAGCCATAAAGCTCGCAAAGATCTCCAGCTCCAGTCGGCCTGGGCCGTTGCAGCCGGGCCTCCGAGGCCTTCTCCAGGGCGCTCAGCGTCGCGTTGCAGCTGATGGCATTGGGAGCCTGGCAGGGCTGGAAGGGTTCGGAACTTTTGGGGGGGCCGATCGACTTCGGGTATATTTGTGGCAGTGTAGCATGCTGCAGATTCTCTGTTGTTCTGCTGCTGCATGATCTGAGGGAAGCTATGGGCCCCAGCGCTGTTCTGTGTTTGGACACAGCGGTCGCTCCCTCAGTCCTACTTCTGAGGATCTTGGGGTCAGCTGTGTGAGTCACCACTGGGCTTCTGGGGTATCAGGGTCCGGAATCAGTGTGCAATTTTGAGTGTCCTTTGTTCCTTGATCTGTATCCCCTTTAAAGCTATCCCCTCCATGGAGCAGCTGCTTTCCTCACGAAGTCCCCGCATTGCATGGCTCACGTGATTCACGTCGCTCTCTCTCACACTAGATACAGGAATGTGGGCTGAAGAAACAAATTCCCCCAAAGCCGATTTGCCCCAAGTGACCACAGCATCATCGGCCATGCTGTGGAACAGCTCCACAGCACAGGGCCAAACGGCCCCCTTCTCCTTGGACTCACTGTATGGAAGGTCAGGCTCTCAAGGGCCTAAGCCTGAGCCCTCTTATAAGGCGGATTGGGTTGACGGAATCCCAAACCGCAAAGTTTCCCAGTGGTTTTTTTACGTTGGAACCCTCGCAACCGGGCGGACTGCAGAGGAGAGTTTTTGTGTTTAAGGCTCCAAAAACTCCCTCAACCCCACAAGGCTGCACGAGAAAGCTAGAGTTTGCTCGACCACTATATGTGGGCCCCAGAACCCTCAACCACTGAAGGCGCAATCTGGGAATCCTGGTCTCGCCAGAACCTGAGCCTTACTTAACCCTGAGCCCTACAGGCCCCCATCCCTGAGCGGGGCAGGGGGGGGGGGTTGGCAGCCCTGCACCATACAAACATGTCATCCCGCTCTCCCGCTTTGAATTCCCCAAAGCATCGCAAGCGCTGATGGCGGCGCTGTAGCTGATGACGTTGGGCGCGATGCGGCGCTCCAACATGGAGCCGAAGACCTAAAGAACACCAGGCCCTTTGGGCGTCTTTTCGGGCTTCTGGTGAGGTTGGCTGGGCCGATATTGGCGCTGTTGCCCCTCGTTGACTCGTGGACTGTGGATTTTGTGGCAGCTTGTCGCGCGCAGAACGGTTCATGCAAAACCTTGTCGCCGGCCCCCTGGGCCTGCAACAGGCCTGTGTTTTCGACCCGCACCCCTTGGGACAGCATGTAGACGTGTCATGTTTCTTGTGTTTCATGGGCTACATGAAGCCAGAAACCACACCTGTCTTACCGATTCAGAGTTGGTGGCGGCTACTGTCTGGGGGACGCTTCCACTCTGAAGACATCTTGGCCATGAATATGCATGGAGATCTGAGGCTGTCAGCCCACCCTCAAGAATACTGAAGCCGGCCTGCAGCGCCATGCGCCAGTGCCCTGACCTTCCACAAGCGCTGATGTACGCGCTGCAGCTGACGGTGTCGGGGGCGATGGCCGACTGATCCATCGCCTTTTAGGGTTGGGCGCGAGCTTTCATGAGATGGTTGAGGGTGGTTCAGGTTCCACTTGCTGCGGGTATTGAATGCGGCTTTTGTTTTACATCGTGCAAAAAGGTGGCGTTTTGGCGTTTATGGGGTGGCCTTTGCCTGTAGCACTGTAGCACTGCAGCACTGTAGCAACCTCTCACGGGACCGAGGCCCTGGTCCGAAATCCCAAGTTCTGAAAAAAGCCCTTCAAACATCTTCATGGCAACTGGCATTGTACATCGAACCACCCCAAACCCTTCACTGCGGTGTGCTGGCTAAGATACGATGCCTCCAACCCTAAACCCTAAACCCTAAACCCGAAACCCCAAGATATGAACTCCGAAGCAGGATGCCTCCCAGAGCGCCACAGCCAGCTGCCATTGGGCGCTGTTCTGACAGGCCGTGGTTGTGGCACTGAAGCTGACCTGCGAGGCGCCTTATGAGCCTTACAATCCCTTACAATACCTTATAATACCTTACAATGCCTTATGATACCTTATAATGCCCTTTTTATGCCTTATAATACCTCATAATAGCCTTATCAGTTAGGGACTTCTTTTTTGCCACCCGATTCGCCACAGAGCACTCCGGGGTCTGATACTCGGAAATTGGGAGGAAACCCATGAGGCATTGCGCCGAACGAGTTGCCAGAGGACCATCATGGTCGGACACATCAGCACCCTTATGACACGGTTTAAGGGCTTAGTGTTTAAGATTTAGGGTTAAGGGTTTAGGAATTAGGGGACCCCAAGCTTGTACCAAAAGAGGGTTTAGGGCTGAGGGCCTTCATGTCTGCGACCTGAGATGACTGCAACGATCTGAAGCCGGTTTCTTAGGCAGCCAAGGTCGGGATGTCGTGAGAAGTCATAGCATGACAGCAAAAGCCCCACCACAACATGTAGGGGGGGATTGCGATTCATCCTACTTGCTTTTGGGGGGGGGGGGGGGGGGGGGGGGGGGCGGATGGGGGCGGAGAATCGAGCAGCATATAAGGAATCAGATCTCTTTATTCGCCGAAAGCTTCGAAAATAGAGCTACATTGTGGGCCCTTTGGGGCCTCTATTTTCAGCATATACATACATATATACATACATATATATATATGCATATTCACTATATACACACACATACATATATATATATATATATGTCATATACCCTTCTTTTGGTACCAAACGCTACCACAACTTTGAAGCAAAGCTGCAACCGAGCGACGAGATCTCTGTGCAGCTTCGACGCAGGCATGACAGCAAAAAGCTGTAGCGCGGCCTGGCAGGGCTTAGGGTTTAGGGTTTAGGGTTCAGGGTTCAGGGTTCAGGATTCAGGGTTTAGGGTTTAGGGTTTAGGGCTTAAAGTTTAAGGCTTAAGGATCTTTTTGCCCCGCCCGTGGGTTCAGGGTTCATGGCGTGGGCTAGGATGCACATGTCCTGTGGTTTGGGGAATGTTGGGTCTACTTTTGAACGTTTGGACAAGTCTTGTGAGTTCTCCCAACTTCGCTTTGTTTAACCAGAGCTGACCTGACCATCAAAAGAACCCCCCAAGGAAGCTAGGTTTAGGGTTTAGGGTTTAGGGTTTAGGGTTTAGGGTTTAGGGTTTAGGGTTTAGGGTTTCGGGTTTCGGGTTTCGGGTTTCAAGTTTCAAGTTTCGGGTTTCGGGTTTAGGGTTTAGGAGCCTTAGCCTTGGCTGCGCTTCCCCCAGGCTTCCCCTCACCAGCCTGCCACTGGGAAGCCTTGCCACATGCGCTGATGGTGGCATTGAAGCTGATGGCATTGGGAGGGCTCAGCCGTTGCTGCTGCTCGAAGCATTGCAAGGCTTCTTGCCAAAGAGCGCCCTTCTCACAGGAAGTGATCGCCGCGACATAGCCCACCGCATCCGGCGTCACGCTGGCCACATTCTGGGCCTGGAAGACCTGGCCAGCCAAACCCCGAACCGTTTGACCGTTTAACCCTAAACCCTGAACCCTAAACATCCCCAACCCCTAAAGTAGGACCTGGCAACCTGAGACCCTCAAGTTCATTGCTTTTAAAGGCATAAGGAACGGAGGGACCTCCATCGCGAGCTGCCACTGCTCTCCCTTCTGACAGGCCGAGATCGCCGAGGCGTAGCAGATGCTGTTCGGTGACGGATTCAGCTTGGGCATCACGTGCAGCAACTGCACGGAATGCTGCCACAACTTGGCCTTTGCAAAAGCCGAGATCCCGATGCCGCAATGGAAAACGTCCAGCTGCATCTGGTCATCCCTCTTCCTTGCTCCAGCTTCGGGAGCTTAAAGGAACAAAGGGGGGAGCCTTCAAAGCCTTCAAAGCCTTCCACAGCAAAGCTCGGTTCAGGGTTTTGGGGTCAGGATTGGGGTACAGGCATGACGATTGAGTGCAAACCCACGCCAAGATCCGCTTCTCGGCGTGGCACATCGTGGCACTCTGTTTCTCCTGCTTCTTGCGGGCACATGGCGCGACTGCATTTCAAGACCGCAGCCATGCTGTTCTTGCTCCGAATTTTCAAAACTGACCTGAGGCCTCTAGAACATGAGCCTGCCAAGCCATTGTGGATCGAGCCATGGGGGCTGCGCAGGCAGCGCGCAGGGCGCCTGGAAGACAATCGAGGCATCTGAGGCCCTCAAGGCATCTCAGAGCCCTCAAGGGCTGTTTTGAACAGCTGTTTGTGCCTGCACAAAGTACAAGTGTACGAAATGGGTACGTGGACCGGCAACGCGACCCTCCAGAATATGCCTACATGGCAAGCATCTGCTGTATATTGCGGAGCATGAGACCCGACTGGTGCCGGTCGCCAAACCGTACCTTCCTAGCATGAGTGTCTCTTTGCATCTTCGCTTGTGCAGGTGGGAAGGGCCTTCTCTGCTGCCGCTCTCTAGTCTTTGTTTTTTGGGACGACCTGGGCTTGCTGACTTATTAACAGGATGATGCAGTCACAGCGATGTGCAAAGTTTGTAAAACTCGTCAAAATTGTTATTATTTGGAAAACAAGGCGATCTCTAGAGTCTAAAAATTCTGTTGCCACATTGAACTTCATCTCTCAGGGCTCTGCGATGATGGTGTTGCCATCGCTGGCAGGGACATGGAGCTCCTCGCCGTGGGTCTGGCCGGAGGCGCTAACAGGCCCCAGGTGGTTTGGCCAGGAATCCGGGTTCCACTTGCCAAAGGCCTTGCGGCATGCCGCGTCCAAGTTCATGCCCGAGGAGGTCATGGCCATGGTGGAGCCGGTGATGCCCGCACAGGCTGCCACACAGTTGGCGTCCTTGTCCGCACGGCCCACGATGTTCACGCACGAGTTGCTCGCCAAGGAGAAGAAGCGGACAGACAGGCTAAGCACTGCGAGGATGCCTGTGATGTCCACTGCGCACACGCGGCCCTCGGTTTGCACGACTCCTGGGGTGCAGTGGATAGTGCTGTCCGCCAAGATGATGGCAAACCTCATGACGAAGGTGGCACCCAAGTCCAACTGGGCCACGCACCGGGCAACTGCACCGTACACGGCATCGTTCGGCACCGCCGGTGGCGCTGGCAGCGTACTCACGTCGACGCCGGCCTTCTTGAGATAGTTGTACACACTCTTCGAGACCTGCTTCTTCTGTTTGGTGATCTTGCCTGTCGTAGCAGCAGAGATCACGGCGTCGATCTTGGCTTCTGGGGTCAGCTTGCCGGCCTTGACGCCTTTGTTGCAGATCAGGTCGGCGGAGAGAGTCGACTGCATCAGCACAGAAAGGCCGCCTGTGAAAGCGCCTATGTTCGCGGCGCAATTCGCAGGGACGTTCAGCGAGCCCGAGCACGTAGAGATGGAGGAGGCGATCACACCCATGCCAAGCTCCACCGATAGCAGGATGCCGAAGATGCCGGAGGCGCACGTCTCCCGCTCGTCGTTCCTCACCGGGCGCTTCTTGACAGCCTGGATCCTGTCAAAGTCACAGGCCACCGTGGAGAACTTGATGAACGTGCCCGTCAGCATCACGCGTGCCACGGCTTGGGCCACGTCAATCACACACAGCACCTGGCCGGCCGCTGGGCTGATGTGGGCAAGGCCGACCGTCGGCAGCTCCTTGGACGCATCCAGCTCGGCCTCGAGCGTGTGCCAGGCCTGCCCGCCAACGCCCTCCAAGAACTCCGTGGACTTGGCACCCACCGGCAGGCCCAGCTTGGGCGCCACCGCGAAGACCATGAGGCCCAGCATCGCCACGCCGGCCGAGCGCCGCGCCCAGCGCCGCGCGAACTCCGGCGCCCCCAGCTGCGCCTGTAGGGTCCAGGGACCTGGAAAAATGCTCTCAAAAACAGCAGACTACCTAACATTATGCAAATATGTAATATGTATGTGCATGTGCTGTGATGGCCCGCCTCGCGAGCAGGCGACCTCATGAGTTGCTCCTCCTCCTCCGTGCGGGCGCCCTCGGCGCCCTCCTGCAGCGAGGTGGCGAGCTCCTGGATCTCGGACTCACGGCCGGCCATGTTCGCTGAATGAGGCGGGGCCAGGATCGACGTGGTGTGGGCAACGCTCGATGTGGCTCGCGACCGAATAAGCCCGAGAATCAGCCACAACACAAGTCCATGTCGGGGTTCCTCTGGAGATTTTGTGCGCATGGTTCGTTACATCGTTCCGGCCAATCCGACACAAGGAACAACAACACATTCACAACAACAGCCCTCCCCGGAATTCAGAGCAGAACACCTTCTTGGCTAGATGCGAGTTACAGACAAACCAAGCCCAAAACTTAGGGGTAAGACGGGCCCCAACCCAACAAACCCCAAGCCCTAACAAGTAAACGAACCAAACCAACAGGATTAAGCCTTGGCTCAACAACCCAACAAACCCCAAGCCCTAACAAGTAAACGAAGTAAACCAACAGGATTGAGCCAAGGCTCAAAGCCTGCATCACCTGGCTGTGGGTTTTGAGCAGTTTTGGGGGGCTTAGGGTCTATGGTTTTAGAGCCAGGGTTGAGGGTTGGGGCTTAGGTGGCACTTTCATCCGAAACGCCACTCGAGCCCGTCGTCGCCTCTCTCTACCCGGCCTCCAGTACCAAGTCAAATCGGCCTGCCGAGGCCAACTCCTCGGCGTTGGGGCTTTGCTGTGGGAGGGCGTAGCCCGTTTTGCATATAGAGATTGGGGCTTCAGGTGGCTGCTTGGCCGCACTTAGGAGGGTTGCAAAAAACTAAACCTTTAGCTGCCTTATTAAGAAACCCAATAAGCCCAAAAAGGCTAAGGATCTAAAGTTGCAGTAAAGCACCACAAGGCAAGGAAGCCACGAGCTCCGCACCGAGGCTCGTCGGTGAGGAACCCCCACGAGGCGACGCTTAACGCACGCATGCTAGGCCCCGCATGAAGACTAACCACGCCTTCATTGAAGCCCTAAACCCTAGACCCTAAACCCTAAACCCGAAACCCGAAACCCGAATCCCCAAATGAAGCATCCAGGAGCCCGCAGCGTGGTGTTCGCTTGCGCCAGGTGCTTGCGCCAGAAGGGGAGCTCCTCGGCCAGCTGGCCTCGGAGGCTCAGGCCGCAAGCTTTTACGGCTTAGGGTTTAGGGTTTAGGGTTTCGGGTTTAGGGTTTAGGGTTTAGGGTTTAGGGTTTCGGGTTTAGGGTTTAGGGTTTAGGGTTTTGGGTTTTGGGTTTAGGGTTTAGGGTTCAGGGTTTTTGTTTTGCGTTGAGGGTTTAGGGTTTAGGGTACGGGGGGACAACCAAGGAAGGAAATCAACTCCCCTAATCGCCCTGAACTTATATTTCCCAGATCGAACCAAGAAACAACCAAGAACACGGATAAGAGCAACAAGGAAGGGGCACCCTTACACAAGTAGAGGGGCACTAACCCAACCCTCACTCCCAAACACGGACTTTTTTCTGTGGACGGGCTGGCCATCCTTGAGCCAAACATAGTTTACGGGTTCATTAACCCTTTCAACTTCCAACACTAACTCCTTTCTACAATACCAATTGCAGCTCCGCACTCCCCCTGTCCTAGGATTTCCTAGGACACATTGGAGATGCAGGTCTTTTGGCCAAAAACTGCCATTAAGGCAGCAGCCAGCTGCTTGAAATGCAAGTTGTGGTTTAACGTCTTCCAGGACGGAATTATAGCACATTGGCTAACCTACTACCCATAGAGAATCTTTTTTCACCATGATCCTCTCATCACTGAAGACTCCTTGGCCTTCTTCACCACAAACCGTGGTCTTCGCTACGCGAAAAGCTACTTACTTCTACTATCAGGGATTTCCATACCCTTAATAGTAACCACCACATTGTCAGCACATTGGCTGTTCCAGCGCACCCGTCTCCAGAAAGAGAAAAACTATCCCTTCATCCATACCATCCAATCACTTCCTTTTCCGATTGTTGGCAATCTTGAGGTGAAGTTGCAGCAGAATATACTCCAGGTCCGAAACTGTAAGAACAGGATCCTGTACGCCCCCTTGAATTGAGGATACCAATCCTTCCCTCTTTGCGTCCTCAATCGCCTGGCAAGATTGACCCAGCTCTTCATTCGCAGTGGCAGACCCTGGTGCATCCGCATCAGATGGACGATCCTTTTCTTCAGGATCTTGAACCATTACCACCTCTTCTTTTTTGGGACTCTGACTTTTCTCCCTCTTCTTTGTCTTTCCACCGACATTTGACTTTGTGCGCGTCTTCGAGGATTTTTCCACTGCAGAAGCCACCACATTGGATGTTGATCCACCTTTCTCAATGATCGTCGGCATCTTCTTCGGCTTTGGAACCATGAGAGTGTAAGGATCTTCAATAGCTGCAGCTTTCCTCTTCTTGTTTACCTTTTTCTTCTCTTCTTCAACGGCAACCTCCGTCTCCGAAGTCTCAACCACTCCTGTTTCGGCAGGAATATCCTTGCTGGACTCCCTTTCTAGGGATCTCTTTTTACCTCTTTTGGGATCCTTTTCCTCTCCCAAATTGGCTCGCTCATACCATATCCTCAGGTCATTGACCCATTCTTCCACCTCCGCGAGCGAAACCTCATACGACTTCACTACTTCGAGAAGTTCCAGCACGGACAACATTTCAGTGGTCCACGAAACCCATACTTGATCCATTTGGTCAGCATCTCCAGTGAACTTCAGGAGTTTGAACAATGGGTCCGCCTCTGCTCGAGCCAAATCTGGCTTGCCACCGGAGAGAAATGAAATCGCCTCCATCAACAGTTCCGTCATCTTGGTCTCTTCGTCATAAACCATAAAATCCTCCTCATCATCATCGAACTGTTCAGGAGAG